GTTTCTGAGGGCATTGGATGATTGCTCATTTTCAAATAATGTTGTACTGGGAAATGCAGGTGACTGGCACTAAGTCATAATGCTTGTTTGACAGTCTGTACAGGCATGATGGGTTGAATGGACTCCTGTGCTATGAAAAATCTGCAATTCCATGATTGAATAGCAGTCCCATTGGCTATTGTTGGAAGGACCATCACCCAAAGTGCAGCATTCAGCACAAACATCGGTGATGAGAGGCAGTAGTTTGCAAGGTGCTTCTTGCGGGGGAGTCATTTGTTGGGGAGTGAGGAGCAAGGGTAGGTGCATAGTTCTTGTTATCTCCCCTTTGCTGATATCGGATCCCCCAATTAGACACAGAGTGCCTTTGAACGAGGGATCCCCCTCAGAGCTGGTAAACAGCCCCATATGGGTTAGTTTCCCTAACTGCTCACTTAAGAGCCTCACTTGGCAGGGGAATTGTCAGGTTTTCCAAAGACTTTTCTGCCATGAACTGGATCAAGTTGGAGGTGGGGAAACGAGAAGGGTCTCCACCCCCTGCCCTCTTAGCTGATTAAGTACATCTCGATCCCAGCTGGTCACTAAGCTCAGATAAGAAAAATGGCAGTTGGCCTTATAATTGGGGCTGTACTGCTTTTCATTAAACATAAAGTGTATGCTCTTTTGACTTTGCGTCTGTTATCGTTGCTGTTGCCTGGAGGGATAAGGTTTGTTATGCAAATTCCAGTTGGCCTTGTTCTGTTTATATTCCACTGAGCAATTCAACATTGTCTCTTGTGTGACTGAGACAGGTTACAATAAATCCTAGAACCCCTACAGTGTGGAAATAGGCCATTTGTCTCATCGAGTCCACACTGACCTCCGAAGAACATCCCATTCACACCGTACCACCTGCTCTATTCCTGTGACCAGTGGTGTGCCACAAGGATTGATGCTGAGTCCACTGCTTTTTGTCATTTTAAATGACTTGGATGTAAACTCAGGAGGTATGGTTAGTAAGTTTGCAGATGACACCAAAATTGGAGGCATAGTGGACAGCGAAGAAGGTGCCTCAGAGTACAGTGGGACCTTGATCATATGGGCCAGTGGACCAAGGAATGGCAGATGAAGTATAATTTAGATAAAAGTGAGGTGCTGCATTTTGGAAAGGCAAATCAGAGCAGGACTCATACTCTTAATGGTAAGGTATTGGTGAGTGTTGCTGGAGTGCGGGTTCATAGTTCCATAAAAGTTGACTCACAGATAGGATAGTGAAGAGGTATTTGCCTTTATTGGTCAGTGCATTTGAGTATAGGTGTTGGGAGGTCATGTTGCAGCCGTATAGGACATTGGTTAGGCCACTTTTGGAGTATTGTGTGCATGCCAGTAGGAAGAATATTGTGACACTTGAAAGAGTTCAGAAAAGATTTGCAAGGATATTGCCAGAGTTGGAGGGTTTGAGCTATAGGGAGAGGTTGAATAGGTTGCTGCTATTTTCTCTGGAGCATTGGAGGCTGAGGAATGATCGTATACAGGTTTATAAAAGCATGAGGGGCACAGATAGGGTAAATACAGAAGGTCTTTTCCATGGGTTGTGGGAGTCCAAAACTAGAGGGCATAGGTTAAGGGTGAGACGGGAAAGATTTAAAAGGGACCTGAGGGGCAACTTTTTCAGGCAGAGGGTGGTGCGTGTATGGAATGACCTGCCAGAGGAAGTGGTGGAGGCTGGTACAATTACAACATTTAAAATGCATCTGGATGGGTATATGAATAGGAAGCGTTTACAAGGATGTGGGCTAAATGGGATTAGATTAATTTAGGATATCTGGTCAGCGTGGACTGAAGGATCTGTTTTCGTGCTGTACAGCTCTATAACCCTGAATTTCCACAGACAGTTCACTTAACCTGCACATCTTGGGACTGTAGAAGGAAACCAGAGCACCCAGAGGGAACGCATACAGATACCTGCGGGTGGAATTGAACCCAGGTCCCTAGTGCTGTAAGGCAGAAGTGCTAACCATTAAACCAAGATACTGACCTGGAATGGAAGGGAAACTTTTTATATTTTGGCTGAAACACAAAAGAGTCGTAGCTCACAGCAGCTGAAGTAAAGGTCTGCTAGTCCCTTAGGTCGGATCATTCTCCACATCTCTTGTATTATCCCTTTTGAATGAATGAAAAGTGGCCTATAAAATCTGGTGACTGTCATGGGCTAGTGATTTGGTACAGCCGGTACATACTTGGGTCATGTTGGAGGATTAGCTAGAAGATTTTAGTAGGTTTCATGACTGCTTGTGGCTAGGAGCTTTTTAATCAGGATGCTACAACAGCGATAATGTGATGCAGGTGTGATAAACCAGGTAGTCTTTACTTGCCTGAAATTTCTTTTATGCTTATATGTCATGCGATTGACTGGAAGGAAAGGTGTTGCTGTCAGATTTCCTGAAGGTCAGTTGTATTCCAAATGATTTTGGGGTAATGTTCCTTCTTTGGGAAATGTTGTTCCTGGGGTGAGTGTTAATTAGAGCAAGATGCCTATCCTTCCGATTCAGTGTCTCTACTGGGTTGATGACTTTTAGAGCATATCGAGCTACTGTTGCCAGATATTTGCTTTGAGTGGAAGTTGCTGCTTGTTCTGTGCATTGCACCACTGCATGTCCAGCGTTTGTGCAGAGAAAAAATTAGAGAAGAACTTTGCTAGATTATTAAATTTATGAATTCAGCAAATTGTTGCACCATTTTCACTGCATCTCAGCAGTAGCTCTAATCTCGCTGGTATCTAGATAAGTTCTTATGGTATCATTACATGACCAATGAAATTGACTGTAGGCATCTTGAGTTACAAGATTTATTGTTTGGCTTCAAGTCTGTCTGGTGTGCTCTCTAAGGCAGTCGCACTATGTTCTGCACATGATCTGTGATGGCTTCTTCAATCTTATGTCCGCGTCCATATGCTAGCAGAGTGCCCACAATAGCTTTGACTCCAGGAGAGCACTGACTGTTTACATTTATAATTTTCTGAAGCAGAGGAAGTGGCAAACAGCATGTGCAACGATCTGCATCTCCCAAATCGTGTCCATAATGTAATTTTTAAAAAACTGAAGCTTTCATCCAGTTTCACTTGTCAGGAACCATCTTCCACATCAAGGGGAGTAAAAGTCTTTGCCATGACAATAGGTCTTGGGAGATTTGGTTCAGGTTAGTCTCTTAAGTCACTGAGTGATCTATCACTCTTGTTTAATTTGGAATAATATATACTAATACAATATTATGATCCTGGGCTATACAAATACATTTTTTTACGATCTTCCTTTGGGCCAATACCTTAATTTTATGTTGACAAAGTGGGATCCCAGGTTCTTACTAAGGGAATAAAGACGCGAGATTCCACCTTTTGAACCATAAACTTGATTGTAGTGATGTTCTAATTTTGTACAATCTATAGAATGTATGCAACTTATATTCTAATATCCCAAAAATAACATTTTCCTTCTATTTGTGAGCATTGCAGGCTAGATCAATGTTTATTGCCAGTCCTGAGTTGCTCTTGAGAATGTGAGCTACCTTCTTGAACAGGTGCAGTCCATTTGCTGTGGTAGACCTGGGATGTTGTTGGGGAGGGAATTCCAGAATTTTGACCCAGTGACCATGAAGGAACAATGATACATTTCCAAGTCAGGATGTTGATTGGCTTTAATGGAAACTTGCAGGTGGTATACCCAGATATCTGCTGCCCTTTTCCTCTGAGATGGTGATGGGCAAGTGTTTGGAAGGTGCTGTCTAACAATGTTTGGCAAATTTCTACTGTTTCTACACACTGCTGTTAAGGAATGTGGGTAGTGGAATCACCCTTCTTCTGATAGTCAGAAGCCATTTATCACTTTTAGACCAAATGATGCCAGCCTCTTGGATCATGTGCTGTGATTTGTCTGTATCATCGCCTGACATGGAGTTTACCATTCAGCCCTGGAGCCTCTACTGCTGCCTGGGGAAGAGAAGTTCACACGCTAACAGTTTTCTTAGAGGAAAAGAAATGTCATCTCTGACTTAAATTTTAATGTATTTTAAACTGTGTCCCTGGTCCTAGTCACTTAAGGAAAAGGATCCTCTCAGCACCCACCAAATCAAATTATCATTTGGAATTATAATGACCTGGATTTCATCTTTTAGCAGGGAACAAACAGCACTGGCTTTTCATTGCATGTACAATTTCACCGTCTTTATGTGGGCTTTTACAGTACCAGCTGCAGGGAATCTGGGACCAGTGTGAACAGGCCAAGTGTCAAATTGAAGAATACACCTGGGGAGGCAACAATGAAATGTTTCTAGCCTGGGGTGGTGAGCAAAGAGCTGTGTTAAGATGGCTCTCTGTCATATTCCTGATGCAAGGGAAGTTTCCCAGCAGGAAGCAGGGAGATGGATTGGTTGCTTGCCAAATAATGATGGGTGTGGTGTTTCTTCTACTTGAGGCTCATAAACTTTCTTTTAGATTTTGGAGACACATCAACCTTTGTCATCTCCCACTCTGTGGCTGTCCTACTCTGGGTGTTTTGGTTTGCCAAACAGTGCAATCCGACTCTCAATTACATTATGTATTTGCAGCTATGTCTTAATGTTTTTGGTAACATCCCTCAATCAGATTTTTGGATCTAAGATTTTTACCTGCCTGACAAAAATTGATACTGGACATATGGTAATCCTCTAAAATCTGAACTTGCTTCATTTACCCATTACCTGAATTTACTTGAGCACCAATCATTAGGTCCAATCCAGGCAGTGAGTTCACTAAAAATAACTAATGAGATAACACTAGATGATGACATGGGTTTGGTTGTTCCAGTAACATGCAAACTTTTCAGTGCTTGGTCGTATTGTCTAGGTGTAGAAGATCTTCTTCAGTACATTAAAGGCATGGTGACATATAAAATAGTTACAAGATAGTAGTTGTGCACTGACATACTCACCCATTATTTAACGTTCCCACCTGAATTGATCAGTTTTTGCTTATTTTATTTTCCTCACAGAGCAGGGCAAGGTGAATGAAGCAGAGAATCTCTTTCAGAATACTGTATATTACGAAAATCAGAGTGAGATGGAAGAGAATATAGAAAATGGAATGATTGTGCCTGATTTGCCAGTAACGACAAACCAGACAAGTCCCAGGTATATATATGATTCAATTCTTAAATACAAAACTATTTTAATTTATTATGTTTAGAGATACAGGGCTAGTTCTTAAATACTGTAATTATTAATACCTCAGATCTGTATTCATTCCATTTCCATTAACAACAATCATTTTGTATTTCTAGCTGAGCAATTATAACAACAATTAAAATGGATACAATATGGACATGACAGAATTATTTAATAAATGGCTGTAGAATTACTCTTATGAAGATACAGCACCAATTCTGGTGGAAAAGAACAAATGTAGAAGTAAAGTAAAACAAAGAACTGCAGATGCTGGAAATCTGAAATAAAAGCCAGTGAAACTGAGCAGATCTGGCAGCATCTGTGAAGAAAAGATCAGAGTTAACGTTTTGGATCTGGTGACCCTTCCTCAGAGTTCTGTGGAAGGGTCACCGGACCCAAAACGTTAACTCTGATCTTTACTTCATAGATGCTGCCAGACCTGCTGAGCTTATCCAGCAACTTCTGTTTTTGTTCCTGATTTTCAGCATCTGCAGTTCTTTTGGTTTTTATTGTAAAAGAAGGGGACTGTTTTGAGGACTGTTGTGACACAATGGTAGTGTTGCTCCTTCTAGACCAGGAGGCTCCAGTTCAAATTCCATTTCCTCCAGAGATGTGTAATAGCAGTTCTGAACAAGGTTGCTTGAAAAATAAAAAAAAAGGCTGTTTTGAGATTGGGAGCCACAAAAGCATGGATTTCCTGAACTTCCTGCACTTTTTAACTGCAGGACAACTTTAAACATATTTTTTCTGTAGGTTTTGGGTCCATAGTCAGTCTTATTGACAGGCTAGCTGCTTGTTAGCTGGAGATGCTGTGGCACAAGGCTGAAAGTGAGCTTGGGCGAGAGCAGGTTGTTCTAGTTCAGTGTAGTAGGGATAATGGGGAAGAAGGTGGGCTTTCCTACACGAGAGGTTAGGTGGTTGCTAAGCTTGGTGTGAGGGTGGCAGTAGTGAGGGTGGTGATGGATGAGCAGGTCCAGTTGCAGACTGGAGTACACACACTTTGCTGATTAGTTCCTCAGGACCTGGAAGAACCATTCCTTCTCCTTCTGGCCCACAAGCAGGGCTGTACAGGCACTTATCTTGTGTATTCAGTGCTTCTTGCTCCTTTCACCTGCCAGTTATCCTGAGGACCAGGGAAACAGGCCAACCACGTTTAAGAATAGAATTACTGCAAAAATTAAGGAATGTTGCCTTTTGATATACTTAATGACTAACAGCTCTGCTCCTCAAGTAGGATGATCAGCTATCTCTCAACCCACCTGTTAAAACTGTTTGCAGTTGAGGTTAGTTGGGTTTCTGAGTCAAATTTTTAGCTTCTTAACCTCCTTTAAAACAATGTGTTGTTAGTTAAAGTTGCCCCACAATATCACCATCCTTGTGAATGTTTTAACACGTTTTTAAAAATATTTTGTGATCATCAATTCCAATATTGACTGCACAAGCATCTAAAAGGTATTGACAGTTTTGAACATGACACAAACTTCGGTGCTTTGGATGTAGACTTATAGATAGACAAATGAGGTAGAAATCCTTTCCTTGCCTATGAGTAAGTGTGGAACTTGAGATTGAATGAGGAGGAATTTAAGTGTGTACAGGAAATTTTTCTGATTCAATATGTGGATGTACCTACTTGAGAAGGTCAGATTTTGCACCTACTCTGGGGAAATAGGGCAGGGCAGGTGACTGAGGTGTTTCCATGCTGTATTACTCTGATTCTGATTCAGTGGGGAGCACTTTGGGGCCAGTGACCTTAATTCTATAAGTTTTAAATTAGTGATGGAAAAGGATAGACTGGATCTCAAAGTTAAAGTTCTGAATTGGAGGAAGGCCAATTTTGATGATATTAGGCAAGAGGTTTCAGAAGTTGATTGGGGGTAGATGTTCACAGGTAAAGGGACAGCTGGAAAATGGGAAGCCTTCAAAGATGAGGACGCGAGTCCAGAGACAGTATGTTCCTGTTAGAGTGAAGAGCAATGCTGGCAGATGTAGGGAATGCTGGATGACTAGAGAAATTGAGATTTTGGTCAAGAATAAGAAGGAAGCATATGTCAGGTATAGACAGCAGAAATCGAGTGAATCCCTAGAAAAAATATAAAGGCAGTAGGAGTATAATTGATGGAAATCAGGAGAGCAAAAAGGTGACATGAGACAGCTTTGGCAAATAGGGTTAAGGAGAATCCAAAGGGATTCTACAAATACATTAAGGACAAAATAATAACTAGGGAGAGAATAGGGCCCCTTAAAGTTCAGCAAGGCTACCCATGTGTGGAACCACAGGAGATGGGGGAGCTACTAAACAACTATATTGCATCAGTGTTTACTGTGGAAGAGGATATGGAAGATACAGAACATGGGGAAATGAATAGCGACATCTTGAAAAATATCCATATTACAGAGGAGGAAGTGCTGGACGTCTTAAAATGCAGAAAGATGGATAAATGCCCGGGATCTGATCGGGTGTAACCTGGAACTCTGGGAAACTAGGGAAGTGATTGCTGCGCCCATTGCGGAGATATTTGTAACATTGATAGCCAAAGGTGAGGTGCTGGAAGACTGGAGGTTGGCTAATGTGGTGCCACTATTTAAGAGAAGGTGGTAAGGAAAAGCCAGGGAACTGTAGACCGGTGAGCCTGACATCAGTGGTGGGCAGGTTGTTGGAGGGAATCCTGAGGGAAAGGATTTACATATATTTGGAAAGGCAAGGACTGATTAGGGATAGTCAACATGGCTTTGTGTGTGGGAAATTATGTCTCATGAACTTGATTGAGTTTTTTGAAGAAATAATGAAGAGGATTGATGAGGGCAGAGTGGTGGGCATGATCTATATGGACTTCAGTAAAGCATTTGACCAGGTTCTTTACGGTAGACTGGTTATCAAGGTTAGATCACATGGAATATATGGAGAAGTAGCCATTTGGATGCAGAACTGGTTTGAGTTAGAATACAGAGGGTGATGGTGGAGGGTTGCTTTTCAGATTGGAATGTGAGGCACTGCGTTTTGGAAAGGTAAATCCGGGCAGGACTTCTACACTTCATGATAAGGTCCTGGGGAGTATTACTGGAGTGTAGGTTCATAGTTCTTTGAAAGTGGAGTGGCAGGCAGATAGGATAGTGAAGAAGGTGATGGTATTCTTGCCTTTATTGGTTAGTGCATGGAGTATAGGCGTTGGGAGGTCATGTTGCAGCTGTACAGGACATTGGTAAGGCAACTTTTGGAATACTACGTTCAATTCAGGTCTCCTTCCTATAGGAAGGATGTTGTGAAAGTTGAAAGGGTTCAGAAAAGATTTTCAAGGATATTGCCAGGGTTGGAGGATTTGAGCTATAGGGAGAGGCTGAAGTAGGCTGGGCTATTTTCCCTGAAGCATCGGAGGCTGAGGGGTGACCTTTATAGAGGTCTATAAAATCATGTGGGGCATGGATAGGATAAATAGACAAGGATTTTTCCCTGGGATGTGGGAGTCCAAAACTAGAGGGCATAGGCTTAAGGTGAGAAGGGAAAGATTTTGAAAAGGATCTGAGGGGCAACCTTTTCACACAAAGAATGGGACGTGTATGGAATGAGCTGCCAGAGGAAGTGGTGGAGGCTGGTACAATTACAACATTTTAAAAAGCATCTGGATGGGTATATGAATAGGAAGGGTTTAGAGGGATATCGGCGAAATGCTGGCAAATGGGCCTAGATTTATTTAGGGTATCTGGTTGGCATTGATGAGTTGGGCTGAAGGGTCTGCTTCCATGCTGTATATCTGTATGACTCTGTGTGTCATGCTGTTCAGTTTTTAGATAAAATGTTCTGTTCTATTAACTGTTCCTATGTTATTGAGGGGTAAAATGCCAGCAAGGGCAAAGATTGAGTTGTTTGAGGTTTACCTGTGGTGGTGGGCCAGTAGCCATAGAAGGACAGTAAACAGAAGTGGAAAAATGGAGGAAGCTAAATGGAAATTGTAAATGTATTTTGCTTCTGGTCATGAGAATGTAAAGATTCTTATTTTAGTTAATGTAGTATAAAATGAAGCCAGCAGTCTTTTAACAGTGACATTGAATGTTACCTTCATAGCTCCATTATGGAAATAGGACGTCAGCTGGCAATCGTTGGAGATGAACTTAATCATCAAAAGAACAGGGAATTTCAAGATGTGCAGGCATACCTTTCTCTCCCATCTGAATTTGGATATCAGTCCTTTCGTAGAAGTGCTGAAAGGTAAGTTTCGAATTATGTTGTCAGTATTTGCCATACAAATCTAATAAGTAGCAGTGGTTTATTTGAACTTTAATTGTTGTAAATTCTGGTATGCAGGTCACTCAGCAGAATAGTTCCAATGTTAACTTGACAAAGTGTCTGTTTCTGTGCTGTACATCTCTATGACTATACTACCAAGTAGAGCTTATTATAAAATGGTTTCAGCTCCTGTACTACATTCTCTAATTTAAGCAGAAACTCCAGTCTCCACTTTTCTTTGTGGTTGGGTAGAATTATCAAGCAAATATCCTGGCTATGACATCAAAATTCTGAGAAGCAGCCTCTGGTACAGGTTTCTGTGAAAAATGAGAACCAAATAAAGGACACAGCCATGACCTGGGCTGTGACCTTGGTTTGCGAGATAAACATATTGATAGAGTAGAAAAGAAACACAGGGTTCTCTGGGATCTGTTTTCTGCAAGTGTCAGATGATGTAGAGACTTAGAGCTATATGAGCACACTGTGCATCTGAGGAACTGAATGTTTTTTTTTAATCAGAGATGATCACAATGTGTACTGAGATGTTAGTGTTTGGATGAAGGGACCTCTGGGGAAATTATGCCATCAAGACTGTTGTGGATAGAGTGAAGGAGCTTCGGCAGAAATGTGCCTTTTTAGTGATAATTGTTTTCCTAGAACTTTGATGGAGTGAAGCTATTGTCAGGGGATACTTGATGATCAAATTTTGTGTTACAAAGAGTAACACCTGTGTTACAGCCAGAGGAGGATAGAGTTGAGGCATTTTGGGATGCCACATAGGATCATGTGTGCTAACAGGGCTTCCTGACAAACTTGTGATTTTTCTCTCTCTCGATCCAATTGTTTAACGTATAATTCATGGTTTCTGTTGAATGTAATTTTTTTGTCAGTTCATGTTTAATTTATTGTGATTTCTGTTTGAGTTTAACATTAAAAAAATTTCAGAAGTTAAATCTTGTCGAGTGATTTCCTTTGTTTTGCGTAGGTTGGTTTTTTCAAGTTCTTGGTTTCCACAGGAATTGTAACACTTACCTGGTCTTTTGTTTGAGAATTGACTTTGCAGAGAAGGTGACCAAATGAATCTTTAGATATCATCTCGGAACAATTAAGAAATGGCGAGACTGAGGGAAAGAATAAAAGAATCTGGTCAATGGAAGGAAGCAAATGAAAGATTAAAGTAAACTTTGAAAAATTAAGAAAATGAATATTGTGTTAGTTTACAATTAGGAGATGTAAAAAATATTGAAAGCAGATTATGTAAACCGGTTTTAAAAAAACTGTTGATATGATTGTTTTAAACATGTAATGCTAACTAATCCAAATGTAACAAGTTTTTTGTGTTAAGTGTATCAGTTTTCTACAACACAGATTATATGACAATGGAATCAACTGGAGCCAAACAATTGGTCTGCTGAGCCTTGGCTACAAAATGATGACTTATGTCTATCAGAGAGCAGTTACGGGGTGTTTTGGCAAAGCTACAAAATCTGTTGCAAAGTTTATTGCAAAGAACCAAATTGCCCAATGGATTGTTGAACATGCAGCCTGGGTAAGTATGCATTGTGGTGTGGTGGGAATATGTTAATCTGTGTGGATTTATGTCACATTGTAAGGATATTTTTTCAAAACTTTTCATTTCATTGCCTTTTGTCTTTCTCAGCTACTTTAAGTTGAGAAATTCAGTGAAACAGAGCCAGAAGACAGTGAGTTGCAAATTTATGCAGAAAACATTAATTTTGGTTGAATTTGGAAGGTGTGGATTTGAAGAAATCCTGATAAACACAGATGTTTAATCAGCATTGCTGAAGGAGTGGTGATCTCGAATTTCAGAATATTTATAATTTGAGGAAGGGGCAGTTGTGTTTGAAAGGGAAACAGCAGATTTGGAAAAGCTACATGGTTTAAACTCCAGAAGAGTGAAGTGGTCTCTGCTTAACTACACATTCAAGGAAGTTCATAATTGCTTTTCATCCCAGAGTCTATTATCTCACTCAACTTCACGTTAGACTGAATGTGCTATCTGCCATGTTGCGTCTTTTAAACATCTTTCTCTGTGACCTATACCCAGATTATTTTTTATAGTTAAAGGCAAGAAAAATAAAATGTTTCCCAAATGAGAAGTGAAAACAGTCTTTATTTTGTCAAAACAAATTTACATGGAAATTATTTAATCATTATTGAGTTAATGTAACTCAACACATTAAAAGGGAAGCCTCTGCTGTTTTAACAGAGTTTGTACACAAGTGTAAAATTAACAGTTATGTTGTGGATACTGATGTTTGAAATCCTGAGGCCTATTCAATTATTAATTTTTCCGATTCTTTTCCCACAGTTCACAGTGACCTTCTCCGAGGTGTCTATGGAATTTAGCTCCATTTCTATTGATGGTTCTGTTTTATTAGTGCATTTATGATCCTGTACTATTTTAAATTTTAATCACCATAATTACACTAAATGTTGTGTCAGGTAAACAGCTTGGCAATGTACACTACATCCAGACTTTGTGCATGTGTGTAAATTACATAAGGCATTTGTGCAGGAAAACGATGGTATAGAATGCAAAGTTGAAATGAGCCCTGCATCTAATTACGGTGTTTAACAATATTAATATAATCAACAGAGGCAAAAGAATGGAATATTTGTTCTACAATGAATGCCAGTTTTACTGTTTTACCAGTCACATACCTATATCTCTCAATAATATCACAGAAAGAAAATAGAACTTGCACCTCTCATAGCCTTTGGACATTCCATAGTACTTGACAGCCAGTGAAATTTATTCACTGTTATGGAGACATGCAGCAGTCTCTACTGCTAGGCTATTTGCTCACACTAAAGACATAACAAATAACAATCAGATAAATAATCAAATCTTGTTTTCATGAAGCCTTTACAGAAAGGACTTCTGCCTTTGCAATAAATTACATCTTCCTTCTTCATCAATTTCTGCAATCTTTACCATAAATGCAGCATTTCATGTCCTAACAAATTTAAGTTTTCTTTCCAAATTTCCTGGATTTATTCCCTTTCAACTTGTTGAGATTAGCTTTTTTAAAAACTATCAAACGCCTTTCCATCATGGTTATTCCATCTGCTTTTCAACATTTGTATCTGTGTTTACGATTTGTGTTATGACCACTCTTTGCTAATATTCTCATATCATTTGCATTACCTACTCCTATTTCTTTATTTCCAAAAACTAGATCAAGTATTGCTTCCTATCCTGTTTAACTAAAAACCATATTGAAATTTAAGTAGAGGAACTGCTCACTGTTGTTCTATTAAATACCTGCTGCATAAGCCTAACACCAGAGGCTGTAGCTTACAGCAGATGGGTTAGTAACTACAGACTTTTTTTCCCTCTCTTTGTTTTACAGACCACTGCCTTGTCCATCGAGAATGCCAACCTGAAGTGGCTGTTTGGAATTCTACTGGCTGTCATGCTGAGCGTGGCGATTACTCAAAGATTTATAAACCATGAATAGTTCCATGTGCTGTGCTGGATCGTCCAAGCTGGTCTTAGACCAAGCAGCATATCTGCTGATTCCTTCACCCTGGTGGTGGAGATTTTTTATTATCAACTTTGAATATTAGAGATAATGTTTTTCAAATATTTTTGCTTTGGATATTTAAATTTTTTTGGGAAAAGTGCTGGGCCACACTTACATTTTCTAAACTTTAATAATATAACAATGAAATTGAATGTATGACTGTTGCTGATAACTATCTGGGTTGATTGCCTAAGGGGATATTTGTTGTAGTTTTTCCTGTACTATACAAAATTACTGTGATGATCCTGGCAACACTGTTGCATTGAACTATAATATGAGAAAAACTATTATTACATAAATATAAAAAAGATGATCATCATTTCTAGTCAGAACATTTACTTTGTGAAAGTATATTTTTTGGTATTGATGTAAAATGATTTGCCCATGATTTTGATGCAGGTATTAACCTGTTTGGATTGATACCTCCATCCAATAGAATATACCACAGAAGTAAAAGCAAAAGAAAAGCAAGACACCTCAGAAGCTCAATCTGAAATAAAAACAGAAAGTGTTGGAGAAATTGAGCAGATCTGGCAATATCCATAC